CAGCTCCCTCCTCCAAATTGACATGGCTCTTTTTCTTTGTTAATAACACTACACTGACCATTTTTGTTCACTTTTTAGTGTCTTCTTTTTCTTCTTTTTAAGAATCCAGGTATGTGGCAGTCGCATTTCCATCTCCTGTCTTCATCCAGAAGCCGCAGAAATTTACGTGAAAAACACAAAACGTTTTCCCACCTCAAACTATGGGATTCAGGGATGTAAGAAAAATACCTGACGCTCTGATACTCAATGAAATAACCGTGCACCAGCCATCCTGAGACCGAAATTAGAGAGAGATGCCCAAAGAACATGAAAGGAAAGAAGTTAATCAATCTTCTAACGACTGCTTGGCGTTAATTCCTGTTACTCAACCTTTACTCAAGTGAACACTCCACAAAGCCCCCAGGATATGGGCAGTACAACTGGCACGCGCGAAGACTACTCTGGCAAGAAAAAGCTGTTGTATTTTTCACGCAGACAACATAAACAAGCGTCTTAGTATTGATCTGATCCTCACTTTTCCCACGTCAGTTTCTGGAAGAGGAGAATTCTGGAAAATCTTTCGTGGCAGCATCCTGTGAGGATGCTCCCCACTGTCCGTGGGGATCGAGGCACCCGCCGGTTTCCCCGGCTCACCCGGGTGCGACCTGTGGGCACCAGCAGGCACTTGCTGCCTGCAGACTCTCCCTTTGCCCATCAGCCCTGCAGGACAAGGGAGAAAGAAAATAGCTCCTACAGACTGAATTCATGTACCCCACATTTTCCCCCTCCTCAGCATCTTCTGGGAATAAGGGCTGTGATTTACTAACAAAAGAGCCACTTAGTACTTCGAGATAAAGCAAAGAAAACCCCGCAGTTGTCCCAGGCGCTTCCTCTCACATTCATCCTCAGGAACTCAGCAATCCAACGAATAACTTTTCTAACTTTTCTTTCACATTTCAAAGCGATGGCAGAGCTTTTCTACCTCTTTATACGAAGGCGTATTTTTTGGTGACGGATGGGGAGGCACAGGAACACAGACGACCTCAGGATCAGCAAAAAAAGAAAAAAAAAAGAAAAAGAGAAACAATTCTATATTTACACACGCTCTTTTACTCCTGCAGCAACCTCACTTGGTTCTGATTAAAAAGAGGCAATTAAAGCAAAAAGAATAGTCATGTAAAGAATAGCCCTGTGGGAGCAGAGGTCCTTCAGCTCCAGATCCTGTTTCAGATGGCCAGTACCAGTGGAGTAAGAGGGTATAAACCCAGGCATCAGTGGAGAGTTCTCTGCCCCAGCTCATCCCTTCTTCCAGTCTCTGTGCCTTGCGGCTCTCCAAGCCGGTCGCTGCCTCCAGGCACCGCTGCCGTGAGGAGCCATCCTCAGCCCTCCCTGACTTTGTCACGTCCTTGCTTGAAATAATGTCTATTTCTGATCTCTGCAACACCTGCCCCATCACCGAACAACGCGCCGGCTGAAAAGGCCCTTCCTCGTGCTCTCAACCTGCCGCCAGAGAAGAGGGGGGCTGAAGCCACAGAGATGCTCTGCTTGACCCAGCCTGAGCAGAGAAACTCACCTCCTCCCGGCTGTCCGGCAGGGATTCTGCTTCCTTGGGAAGGAGCAGCAGTGCCGAGGGGTCACGATGCCTGCTGAGACAGAAGAAGTCACAGGGGGACTCAGGCAGCCTGTGCCCCAGCTTTAGTCGTGACCCAGCCTGATGTGATCTGCCAGCCCCCAGACTGCCATCGCTTTTATACTGAAGAGAAATTAAAGGACAGTAATAACTCCAACATGCAGAACTCGAGCACGTACTGGACCGAAGCAGGGTTTATTCGCTCCAGCATAACAATTTTTCTTTTGATGGTCACTCTTTCTCCACATTATTTTACGAGCCATCACCAGCAAGACTCAAACCAACCAACCAAAAAAAAAAAAAAAAAGGCAGAGATCAAAAATCCCATTTTTTTAAAAAAAGAGCAACTGGTGAATTAACCCCGCTCAGAGACACAAGCTCTGGGAACCCACAGGCCACTGACAGGTTTCTGTGCCTCAGAGGTGGCACAGGAGCAATAAGAGTTCCTAGTCTTTGCTGGGAAGCTCTGGGAATCCCCTGAGCTGAGCTGGGACCTGCATTTTCATCCCCGTTTTAGCCAGAGTTAGCGAAAGCCCTGCTACCAAACGAAGAGTTGGTTGTATCTTAACAGGTGGTTTTGTGACAAACTGGAACTCGGATTGCAAAGCCCTCCCAGCTAAGCAGCAGAGGCGGGGAGGTTTGCCGTGAACTGTATCAGCTTTTAGGGTAAGGTTTTCAGAGCAAGGTTTTCAGAGCTGCAAGTTGAACTGAAGTCAGAAAGAGTGACAGCTTCACAGCACCACCGAAAACTCAGCTCCGTAATACGTTGACAGTTCTCCCTGTAAATGTCACAAGCAGAGGTTCTCACACGAATGCTGTTTTTCTCTTATTAAAAAGAGAAATGTTTTCTCCTGAGCCTCTTTCAAACAAAATAGCGGCGAAATACTTCCTTCGATCTCAAATGCCCAAATAAAGCCTTCTGTCATTTCTGCCTCCAACTTCTTCCCTTAATTTTTGATTACAAAACCAGCGCCAATAATTTGGCTTTTCACTTCAGTTTGGGACAGAAATCAGTGGCAGACCAGCTGATTTTCCCCCAGGCTGAAAGAACATTTTTAATATTCTTGAGACATTCCACAATTTCTCCAAACGGCTTTTACCTTCTCTCCCTTAGAAACACGGAGAATAACCGAGCCCTGTGTTAGCTTTTCCACTGAACCAGCTCTCATTTTTCACTGAGAAAAGTTCGTATCCCTGTTGCACTTTCTAGCTCTGGCACAGTCCTTTTCCTACATGGATTGCAAAATACTTCACAGAGCAGACGCAATAGGTGGGGAAACTGAGGCACGGAGACTCTCGGGATGTGCTAAACACATCAGTGAGAGAGCCAGAAAGCCCAGATGACAGCTCTGCCCAACAAACCTGGGCGAATTTATCCCCCTCCTTTTTTTTTTTTTTTTTTATTTAGTTGCTTACTTTAGAATACTTTCAAAACTTTCTAATTCACCGCAGCGGCATTTAAAACTTTTACAGCACTCAGAGAACTTCTAAATTATTTGAAGCTGCAGTTTGGTGCCGACTTGGCAATGCTAGCTAGAAAACAAGCCCTTGGGCTGGGTTTTTTTTGGTTCTTTAAGAGCAAGGTCGGTATTGGAGAAACACAGCCCCTCTTTTCCATACTGACCGAGCTGGCTCCATAAAGCTCAGCAGTAGGCAAGGGGTAATACCAGGACTAAATCGGAGTAAATCAGGAATAAATCCAAATAAAATATGATAAACGAAACTGGATGGGGAAATGGAAGAAAAAGAAAAAGTTGCCTACGTAACTTGCTGGTTAATATCTTGGGGACTGTCCTGCGGTTCAGGGAGCTGAACCGGGATGAGCCGCAATCACTGCCTTCCCCACTAATATATACACCTTTAGAGCCAGAAATTGCATTTTTCTGGGTTTTTGGAAGGGAAATTTTTTTAAGCCATACCCCAGCGGCGGTCGGTCCGGCTCTCGGGGAGACAGGAGCCGCTCCAGCGGCCGCGCACCGCTCGCTCCCTTCCCGACCGCTCTCCCGCTCCGGGAGGATGCTCCCGCCGGGAACGGCTCCGTCCGGGACGAGGATCCCATGGGCACTGCTGCAAGGAGCGGCTCCTTTTTGGAAAGCTCTCCGCCTCCCCTGCCTGGTTTCCTTCAGGATACCGGGAAAACCACGGCGGATCCGCGGGGAAAACAGGGTCGGAGGCGGCTCCCAGTGAAAAAAATAAAATAAAAAAAGATTATGAAAACGAAAAGCGAAGGAAAATTGCAATTGGCATTTTCGTTCGATTTTCGTTTCGTTTTGCAGGAATCTTTTTCCCACTTTTCTCCGGGAGGCGCGGGGCAGCCCCGGGCGCGGGACGGGGATTCCTCGGAAGCGAGAGCGTGTTCGCAGCCGCGGCCCCTGCGCAGCCCACGGGAGTCCCGGCGGAGCGGCCGCAGCCGGCCCGCACCCGCAACGAAAACGCGGCCAGTCCCCGCGCCCGGGGATGCAATTTTTTTTTAAGAGAAAGCAGAGGGAGGGTAAGGGGGAGTTACTGGCCCTGCACGACCCCATCACCCTTTATGACAGCGCTGCCCTTGGAAAACGCCGCGCATGCCGGCGCCCATCCCGCTGCCCCGCAGCCGCTGGGCTGCCGGTTCACGGCTACTTCAGTTCCCAAGCTCGGACCCGGGACGGGCAGTTCAGAGGCAGGTCGGCCACTCTGTCCTGCCCTGCCCGCCGGGCCTGGATCAGGGAGAACCGGGGCTTGGCGGGGAGGGAATTGGCGGCTCCACTCTGGAGCCCCGCACGCACCCTCGGGCTGTTTGCGAGCCGCGATGCTCCGGGCAGGGCGTCGGACAATCGTCCGGACTCCAGCCAAATCTCCAAGCAGCCTCCCGGTGTCCCGCACACCACGACGCCGGTCACCGCTCGGACGGGCCGGGCGGATGGATGGGATATATGGCTGGATGAATGGAGGGTGGCTCAGCCGCCCACCGTGCCTCCTCCCGTCCAGCCAAGCCCCGTTCTCAGACCACCCTGGCAAGGAACGGGCGAGGGGGCTGCGCCCGCGGGCCCGATCCTGCCCGCCTCGGCTCCCCGGGATGTTCTCCTCCGGCTCCCGAGGGTGCGGGAGCCACGGCACGGGATCCGACGAGCGCGGCGCGGCGGCGAAGGGCAGACCGCCCCTTTCCCGGGACGCGGCTGGGGGATAACAAGCGTTTTTGCAGCCGAGCGGTGCCGGCCCTGCCAAGGGCTCCCTGCACGCCTGGGAAAGCGACTCGGGGAGCGGGAGGAACCGGACCAGGCACCGGCCAGGGGCTCCTCCGGCCACGTCCCCGCGGGAGCCCCCTCGGGGCCGGGACCGGAACCGGCCACCGCGGCTCCCCCGGCCCCTCGCCCCGGGGAGAGATGGAAGGAGGGGGTGACCCCGCACTTACTGTCCTGCTGCGGGGTGTCGCTGCCGCTGGTCAGCCCGGGGGACTCCAACAAGCTCCGGCCGGGCTCGCCGCCGCCCTCCTCCGCCTGGGCGGCCACCATGTCGCCCGCCTCCTCCAGGTCCAGCAGGTGACTCACGGAGAAGTTCTTCTTGGCTTGTAAATTGTCCAGGCCGGCGGGGCCGTCGAGGCGGGCGGGCAGCAGGGCCTGCCTCTCCATGGCGTGGGCATAGCTGGACGCCATCGTGCCGAGCGGGGCTTTTCTGCCCTCGCCCCCCGCGGGCGCCCACCGCCCCCGCGGCCCCCCAGCCGCCGGCCCTTCGAGGGGGATGCGCACGGACCGGAGCGGGGGGAACGGGACGGGACCCGACGGCGGCGGGTAGGGAAGCCCGAAGGGGAGCGGGCAGGGCCGGGCTTAAAACATGCCGGAGGGGAGAGGCGGCGGCCGGCTCGGGGCGCCGGGGCGGCGGCGCGGGGAGCTGCCGCCGGCCGGGAGGCGCAGGGTGGCTGTGGGGCCGCTGGGGCGGGTGCGCCCCGTCCCTCCGCCCCCGCTGCCGGCGGCTCCGCTCCCTCCGCCCCTGCGCTGCCCTCCCCTCCCCTCCGCCCCGCACTTCAAACGGCGGGGGCGGCTCCGCTCCGGGCACCCGCGGGGCCCCGCCGGGACGTGGCACCGGGACGGGGGTGGCAGCGCGGGCCCCGCCGCGCTCGGCAGCTCCTCGTGGGGGGCGGCTGGGGGAGCCCCCCGGGTAGGGGCGAAGGGGGCGCGCAGGGGGGTGTGAGGGTTCTTCCCCCTCGTCAGCCGGAGCTGCACCTGGAGGGGAGGGTGGACGCGCCCCTGGGGAGGCTCCCAGGACTGGGGAGAGGAGCCGGGAGGAGGGAAATAGCGAAAATGAGAAATGCAGATGAAAAGGTGACCAAGGGTAACTAGAAGAGAAAGTGTGAACAGGAGAGAGGAGAGGAAAGGAAGAGGAAAAATAGCAAAAGAGGAAGAAAAAGTGCAACAGAGAGCTAAGAGAAACAGACCAAAAGGAGAACAAAATGAAGAGAGCAGAAGGGTAAAAAGAAAAGAAAAAAAAAGGCAAAAAGAGAAACAGCAAAAAGAAAAAGAGGATTCACTCGGAGGCCAGCAAGCAAAGAGGTCCCAGCAGCCTGTCCTCGCCCGGCTGGCCCCCGTGGCCACGCACAGGTAGAGGTGCTGGGAGGTACCCCCGGACCTCGCCGCAGAAGGGCCCCAGGGCAGCAGGGCTGGCGGCACAGAGGGACAGGGTCCCGCCGGCCAGGAAAGGCCGCTGCTTCTCGGTGGCTGGAGCCTGGGCTCCGAGCTGCCACAGCCAGCCCAGAATTTCCATCCCCCCTGATCTGGGGAAAGAACATTTGATGCCATCAAAGGGCTCCAGATTGAAAACAGATGTGCTTCCCTGAGCCTCTCCGTGCATTTAATTAAGGCACAGGCATGGAGGAGACATTTTCATCATTAGTTTGCTTTCAGGCCCCCCCCCCTCTGGTCCCAGTTTACCCTTTGCAGTCTCAAAGACCCAAATGAGTGTGGCAGGGCTGCAGGGTTCTGCTGTCCTCAGCTTGGGGGGTGAACAAAGCTGGTGGGCACCGTGTGGAAAGGCCAGAAAAAGCATTGGGGCAAGGTTGTGTGAGTGCACAGAACTGTGTGGGTCTAAATAGACCCAAAATGCTGTGTGTGCATCTATGTAAGCAGCAGTGACTTGCTCTATGTGTGCCTTATTGCATACTGGTGTGGCCCTTTTTCTGCATCTGAGGGAGCATTTGTGTGTGAAGTCCTGTGATATGTGTCCACATGTTGGATGGGGAAGGAGCTGTGTCTTCACATGGGTGTGTGAAGCTGTATCTGGCAGGCTTTGGTGTGCTGGCATCTTGTACCCTGGCTCTCAGGGACTCCAGCTTTAGGCAAGGCAGGGTGGGTGGTTACCTCTACACACCCCTGCGGGCTGCCCAGAGCATGAGATGCCCTTTTCTGTCACCCAGATACTTGGCTGCCACCTTCTCGGTCAGCTGGCTTTTACCCTCTTTTCCCCTGATCTGCTTCAAATGGATGTTACAACTGACCTGGCTGTTTTGAGAGGGTGCTGCAGAGCCCCAGCCACAAACATCCCTTTCCACAGGCAGCAGGGTCTGCTCTTGCCCCAGACAACCTCTGCCATGGGGGTGACAGCAGGAGCCACAGAAAACAGAGCAAGAGGTCTCTGTGCCACCTTCACCACTATCCTCACTGACATCCCTGATAAGAGCTCCTCATGTCTAAGGGCATCCTGCAGACAACCCTCCCTTCCAGCCTTGACTTTGGGAATGCAGCCCAGTACCAGCAGACAGCCTGGAAAGATGGTGGGTGGAGGCATGTTGGTGCTGAGGGTGACCACATCAATGTGTGCATCTGCTACAGAGGGAGAGTCTCACCTGCAGGGCAATAAAGGGGCTCAGCTCCAAGACCAGCTGCTGTGGCTTTACCCTGAAGTGAGTCCTGGGTGCTGCCCACACACACAGCACCCACAGGCTGAACACCAACATGGGATGCCAGAATCACATCCTGAGAGTGACCTAAAGACCTCCTTTCCTGGGTGCCTCCTGCAACACTATTGGATTTCTGTGACTGGGTGGGAGGGACAAGTTGAACCCAAGGGAAACTCTTCCATCTCTGTCTGTCTCAGAAAAAAGAAGACTGGGAACAGTGGGAGGCCTCCAAGACCACGCAGAACACTGCAGGGCTGTTCATCTTTCAACTTGTTGTGACCAGACAGGCCCAATGCCAAGGGACACCTGCAATGTGGAAATGAGTGTGGCAGGAACCTCCTGGGCTCTGACAGGTATAGGGAGGTGCATCCTTGGTCAATTGCTTTTTTCTCACGTGACTTAAGTGGTCCACAAAGTTCATAAGCAAAATATAAACAGAAAGATGAGGAGACAGAGGGGATGAGGTCAAGGGGTCCCAGGGCCCTACAGAGCTGCACATCTCAGTCTGCCACTAAAACAGAAGTAGGACCATCTTAACAAGACAAGCATGGAAGATCCTTTCATTAGCAATTTCCCTGAGCTTGCTTCAAAGTTGTAGAAAACTTCAGGTTGGAGTACAGGCAGATATTATCATCTTACCTGAATGCTCAAGGGTATTGCCTTCTAGTGTTCAGTGTCTCCCCCTCCATTGGCAATGGCAGATAAGGATGGGACACTTGTCACCCATCTAGGATGCAGCAGTTCTCCCTGTACAGCAGCCAGCCCATGTGCTCACTCCGGGGCCTCCAGGAGTTCCTGCAGAATGAACAGTCACAAAGCATGAATGAGCCACACCGTGGTCTGCTGCAACCCAAGGATCTCAACACACTTCTGTTTTTCAGATGGGGAAACTCGTGCAAAGGCAACTTGTCCCCAGGATCAAACCCAAAAAAGCAGAAGTCATGGGATACCGCAGTTCTCATGACCCTGAGGCTGGGAAGGGCTCCCATGCCACAGACGGCCCATGACAGCAAAGGCACACACCATTTCAGCATCCCACAGGCCCTCAAGTAGTTGGTTAGACATTTCCCACCTCACCACTGGTCTGGTGTCAAGCTGAACAGGCAGCTCCCCTTCCCCACCATCCTCCCATCCCACCTTTCCTCTCCAATGTGCACCTGCCTGGCAGCTGCTTACAGCCCCATTCCTCCCCTTCCCAGCTGTCCAGCAAATGGTTGCCTCCTGCTCACACTCCCAGCAAGGCAGGAACCTCTGAGCCTCTTCTGCCAGGGGAGAATAGGAGAAAGCCCAAATGTCCTGAGACAGCCAGAAATCTGCCAGGTAAAGCACCCACAGCTGAAAGGTCAAGCCTCACACCACAGACAGCAGCCAGACCCCAGTGTGGCCCTTCCTGCTCCCAGAAGTGGTTAATGTTTTGAAGGATATCGGTGAGACTCACCAGCTGGAGCCCTGCCTCAAAACCCATCCCCTATGCTCTGACCATATCTGACCCTCAGAGAAGGTGAGGAGGCAGAAACCACAAACTCTCCCTAGTTGCATATCAAGAAGGGGAAAACCAAAGATCTGCATCTCTGCAGATGACCAGCACATTTCGCTTTGCTTTCTTTTCTCTTGGAAAATTACAAGCTCAGCCTGCAGTGTCAGTGAGAAAGTCCCTAACTTGGGTATTTTTTTTTATTCTTGAAATTTCCCAAGAAACCCAGCACTGGCAGCTCCTGTGGTTCCCACCTCCCATATATGGGCTGCCCAAGTACGTCATAAGCCCTCAGAAACATTCCCCTCATCTTCACATCTGTCTGAACAGGAACTTTATAGTACCACAGTCTTGGTGACAGTTTTCAGATACAACAGACAGGACCTGACAACCTTCCCAGGAGTCTTGTAGCCAACAAGAAACACTTGGGGCAGATGAGCAGCAGTAATATCCTCAGGGCAGCTCACACTCCATGTGGTTGGCATTACTGGGATGCAGGAAGGCACCAAGCACTGAGTAAGCCAAGCCTTCACCTGCTCTGCTCCTACATTCAGCTCTCCTGCACTGACCACCATGTCACATGCCTTTCCCAGCATAGATGACCTTCTTCTTTCAGCTGCCCTAAATGTCTTCTATTCCACGGGAGTTTAAATAAAAGAAACCAGGCAGAAGAACCTGTGACACCCAGGTGTGGGTCCTCAGCTGTCTAATGGCACTCAGGTGAAGCATTTTGCTCAGTGAAGAAAAGTACTTTGGGCCTCTCTCTTCCCTACCTTATTTTCATGAAACTTGTCAGCATGTAAAGTCTTAGAGCCCTTTTTTGATCTGCCAAATTTGTTTCATCCTAGCAATTTAAAAAAAACAATTCAGGAGGACAGTGAGGAACAGGAGCTGCCAGCCAGAACCACTGCACAAGCTTGTGCCTTTAGGAAACCTGACCAAAATGCACATATCATTTATTCCTGCTCTGCACCAGGTGCTCAGCTATTCTATGACATGCTGGGCACCCTCTAATTCTGCTCTCTTGATGACCTGGATAGGTGTGAGCAGTTTAGATGGGTGACTCAGAGGGCAGGAGGGCACAAATGATGCTTACTCCTCTCCCAGGCCCAGAGCAGCACCTGTGTTAGAGAGTGAGTGCTCCAATGCAGACCTTCACTGCTTTGCACCCTGAAACTCTGCCACAGCTCCTTAGGGCAAAGCTGATGAGAGGCATCGATTCAGAGCATCTCTCTGTCTCTGGCTCGTCTTAGGATGCCACACTGTCCTGTCCAGTGATATCCCCACTGCTGGACTCTGTTGCTGATGCCCAGGTGCTGGGGATCCAAATCGGAATCCTTTTACCCCGAAAAGTTCTCCTCCAGTCATTTCATCATGCTGGTTCCCTTTAATGTCTGGTCTCAAGCCCTTCTGCACTTGCTCCAGCCAGGGCTGGATAAGAACTCCATGGAGCTGGAGACAGAGAGCACCTGCAGGAACATGTGTGTGCACGAGGGTGTATGACCTTACCCGTGTG